GGATGGATGGATGGATGGATGGATGGATGGATGGATGGATGGATGGATGGATGGATGGATGGTTGGATTGATACAAGGTTGCACAGACAGACAAAAGGAAGACATTTCGTTCTTTACTCACTTGTTCATGGCCTTGGCCAACGCGGTGTGGGTTTCTATTGAAATAGACCCAAAGCTCATGGCTCCTAAAAAACGAAAATGACACAAGTGAATACTAAAATTTCCTAAAAAAAAACAAAAAACACTTTGATGGTTTGACAATAGCATAGATTTTGTATTATAGTTAAAGAATCATAAAACGCGATGTCATTGGACCAATTAAAAAAAAAATCGATGTCACTGGACTGATTATCCAATCAAAATGTGAATGATAAACTTACCAGTTACAAATCTCTTCACTATCTCAGAGGCCGGTTCCACCTCGGATATATCGACCTTTTTGGAGCTAAATTTGAAATCCAACTGCCCTCGCAAGGTACAAGCTTTGACCTATAGAAATCGAGAAACAAAACGTCCTTACGCCTACTGGCAAAGTCTTGTAGATATATCTGTGTGACTGACTGAAGGTGGGGCAACTTTGATACCAATATTTAAACGCAAATGATGATTGATGAAGTCGATGGTAATTATATGATGGTGATATGATGATGGTGATGATGCTCGCGATGATGTGATAACGAAGATTATCATTATTAGATTTCTCACCATCTCGAGTGTAGATAGAGCGTATTTCTCGTACGAGTCGTGATTCTTTTGCCTCGAAGCATTCTACCACAACAAAAAATATATCTTCGTTAATTTGAAAGATATGAGAAACCACAACGTCTTACACTCTTTAGGCCTGCAGATACTAAGACACTTGCTTAGAAACGCCACTCACTTTAGACAGATTGCATGGGTAGTATTCGTTTCCATGGTTACCTGTAAGTAAGAGATACTTCGTGGATCGTTGATGTGTTTCTCGCCGCCGTCACGCCAGTGGTACTCTCCCTAAAGTCACGCAAAAAGATGTCACACAATATATAATATGTTATCGGGATAAAACCTCCAAATAAAAAGTATTTTCCCCCGCTAAAACGTTTGATTGCCTTGCTGTTTTCATAAGCATAAACACGTGACAGGAGCAAAACCAATCAAAACCCACAAACGTTTCATACCCYGTTGCTAAGTAACCAGTTGTCGCATTCCCTGTCAGCGTACGCCACGCTGTGCTTGTCCAAAGCCTGCAAAAACATCAAACAAATATCAATAGGGATATTTCTTACAATAGACCTTATTCGTGGTGTGACAACGCTTTCCCAATTCAGTGTGACAAACCTCCAGAGGATTCATTTTCTTTTGTTTTTACTCTTTGAAAAATTCATGAGTATCCCAAAGGATACGAAAGATCGATGAGATCTCGACAATTTTTGAAGCTGGTAGCCGTTCATTTATTTTTTTGAGTTTTATTTGTCAAGTATAGCTGCCGCAGCCGAGGGACTGGGGAGGACCGGAAGCGACGTTTACTCTCCCCAGTTCCCACAACCGTTTGTTAGTTAGACAGTGATAAGATTAGCTTACCTCACGAGCCAGGATATCAAATGAGACTCCACCAAGACGAGAGGGCGTGCCAACAAAACACTTATCAATAACCTGACAAACAGGAATCTCATCGTCAAAAAAACGGATAAACAGGAAATTGCCAATAAACATTTCAATAATCAATCAAATTATATATCAATTTGTTAATTATAGGTTATAAAAATAATTAATAATAATAACAACGATAATAATGATGATGATGATGATAATAATCTCACCTCTTGTGAGAGACCAACTGCTTCGAATATCTGAGCTCCCTGTGAGAGAAATATCACGTCAGTCTTTGCGTCTGCTATTCATGGGTTGAATAAACGAATAGGAGGGATTGAAAGAAGATAAAAGGGAAAATCTCAAGAACATTGGAGATACCGCAACCACGACCTTGAATTCGAGCTCATTTCTTTTTTATAATTCTGTAGATTACTTTATTGGAAAAGAAGGAGACTGTTCCGTATCAAAACTACAATATTCAGGAGCACAGGTGTAAAGCGAGTGTATTTTTGATGGAATACCTTGTAGCTATGAAGAGTTGAGATGCCCATCTTGGCCATGACTTTTGATATTCCTTTTTGCGCAGCTTCGATGTAGTGGGATACTATCTCCTCGTCTGACAGTGGAGGAGACAGCAGATCTGATGAGCACAAAACAATAATAAATACTAGTAAACAAATGGATGGATGGATGGATGGATGGGTGGGTGGATGGGTGGGTGGGTGGATGGATGGATGGATGGATGGACGGACGGACGGAAATTAATTACTTGCAGTA